ATTGTGGCAGAGAGAGGCTTATTAATTTCCCAACACTGCTCAGCCCGTGGTTGCCACGTGACTGCCAAACTTACACGCTGTTAGCTCCCAACACTCAGCAATGGTGAGTTCCCCCGCCTACCACCCCCACCGCCCCTGGCATTGCACTTGATGTGGCTAGTGGCCTTCAAGTCTCTTGTTTGCCTCTCAAGCCCTTAGGCTCCTTGAAGCCAGATCTCGGGTTTCATTCATTTTAGCCCACCGTCTTGGGAGGGTGTACAAGGCGGCTTACAGCTCAATGGGCAGGGGGAGAATACCGACTTAGGCCAGGACAAGACCTGGACTCACACCGCATCTCTGCCACGGCTAGGCCTGGGATTTTCCCAGGAGTGGACTGCCACATCTGTATCCTGCAGGGTAGCTGGTGGATTTGAACCTCTGACCTTCCAGCTGGCAATGGGGCCCTCAGCACTGCACCACAAGTACTCCTAGCTCATCGTCTGCCCTCGTTAAATAGGAGCAATGGTTATGATGATGAGCATGTAGAATGTTCTCGGCGAATTCCCACTGAAGACAATGCTCTACACTCAAAAGTCATTGCCATTGGGCCAATTGTGACTCACAGCGACCCCACAGGAAAGAGTAGAACTGCCCCCTGTGGGTTCTCGAGACTGTAACACTTTACTGGAATAGAAAGCCTCACCGTTCTTCCATGGGGCGGCTGGTGGGTTCGAACTGCTGACCATGTGAAGCCCACTATGCCACCAAGGCTCCAGAATCAAAGAGCTGGATTATTATTAACTAAATGGAACAATTCATGATCCTCCAGACCAAAAAAAAAAAGAAGAAGAAGAAAGAGAAGAATGTCCAATCCCTACCTCACTCCTTCCATATGGATAAATGCCAAGTGGATCAAAAGTTTTAAAAAAAGAAAGTGTTGCTAGAAGAAATCATATTTAAAACAACAACTTTTAATTCTAGGGTTGGAAAGGCCTTTGCAATATGACAGAAAAACAAGAATTTTTATTTTGATTTATATATATATAATAAAGATATGCATATATAATGAAGCTGACTACAGAAAAAGAAAAAGGTGTACATAGAAAAATTGTAAGCAAAGGCAAAGAGAGAGAGAAAAAATACGGCTGATATCACAAAGTGTTTGTTTCCCTAATATGTAAAGAGTACCTACAAATCAATAAGAAAAGGCCAACAACCGGTTGGCAGGCTGGGGGAAGGGGTATGCAATATGAATAGACAATAGGAGGCAGAAGAGAAAGTAAAGTAACATATAAACACACGAAAAGATGTTCGACCTTCTTCAGACACAAGAGCAACATCTCCCCAGGCCGGGAGTCCCTCTGCCCCTTATGGAGACAAGATGCACATTTTGGATCATTGTTGGTTGGGTGTGGCTGAGTGAACCTGGACTCCCCTCTTACAGAGAAGAACTTAACAACAGCTCTCAAAGGTGCAGATCCGACACTCTTTAATCCAGCCAATCCACTTCTTGGAATTGCCCGGCAAAAACCCAGGCGCGTGTGAAAACACATCATCATACGAGGCTACCTGGGGCCGAGTTGTTTGAACGGGAAAAAGAGGGTAAGCAACACAAGGACCCATCAGCAAGAAACTAGGCAAATAAAGGATGGGACAGCCCGCGCAGTCAGACAAAGGATAAGGAAGTTCTTGGAACAGTCCAATATGGAAACATCCCCAAGGTACAAGGGTGAGACGGAGGGAAGAGACTACTTACTGTTCATTTAAAATCAAACCAAACTGAACCACTGCCACTGAGCGGATTCTGACTGATCGCAACCCTATAAAACATAGTGAAGCTTCCCCAGTGGGTTTCTGAGACTACAACTCCTTACGAGAGTAGAAAGCCTCATCTTTCTCCCAGGGAGCAGCTGGTGGTTTTGAATGACTGACCTTGCGATTAGCAGCCCAGCACATAGCCCTCTACCCCACCGGGGCTCATGGAGAAGACCCAGAAAGCACGGTGTGAAGAACACAGACCGGAACTGAACTGCCTTGGTTCAAACTCCAGGCATGTGCTCTTGGTACAAATCACGCACCCCAGTTTGCTTGCCTGGAAAGTTATCTGTTCACCGGTGAAGTCAAACAATGTCTGGTGATGGTGTGTGCCGATACATGCAAACCCCTTAGAGTTCAGTGTACTGTGAGCGCCATGAGGGTTGGCTGCTATTCTTCTTATTGCTATCTGCTTGCTTCTATCGACTTAAAATCTCTCTACAAAAAGCCAAACCCACTACCTCTGAGCCCATTCTGACTCAGCCACTCTACAGGACCCAGCAGAACCATCCCCAAGGGGTTTCTCAGACTGTAACTTCACCGGAGCACACAGTCTGTCTTTCTACAGCTGGTGGTTCCGAACTGCTGACTTTGTGGTTAGCAGCCCAATTCTTAACCACTGTACCACCAGGGTCTGGAGAGACACATAGGAAACAGGCCAGCCCAGGGGAGAGTAAGGAGCAGAGTAACTGGGCCCAGACAGTGTGTCGTCTAACTGGTTTCCGAGAGATGTGAATGAATGAACAGTTTGCTACATGGAGCGATTAACAAGGAAACGCATGAACAAAACTGACATTGGTCTCCACTGAGGCTCTGCCCCCTGCCCCCTGAGGTGGCCCCTACAGATGCCCACGGTCTTGCCACCCCACCTCCCTCTGCCCCGAGGGGAGCCGGAGGTTCCCACCCACCTCGAGGGTCTGCGGCAATCGCCTCCCGGCTCAGTGAGATCTTGCCGATGATGTCATCGTGCCTGCGGAAGGGCCAGCAGGGAAGGAAGGGCTCCAGTCGGGGGTGGGAGGACGGGTGCTGAGGGTGGGCACTCTGGTATGGGTTGTGACCCTGCACCCTGCTTCCCTTTGGGAACCCAGGCTTGGGCCTCCAACTCCCCCCACCACCACCACCCCTACCCGTCTGCCCAGCCACCCACCCAACAGTGTCCTGGTCCAGCACGTAGAAGGCCAGATGGTGGAAGTCCAGAGGCAGGTGCACCGTGTACTCCTCACCCCAGAAGGGGTTCAGGCTCCTCCAGATGGTCGCTGTCCTGCAAGAGGGGCACAGGGGCCCTTGGGCTATACAGGCACTTCCCGGGGACCCAGACACACACTCACTGCACACACACACACACACACACACACACACACACACGATACACACGAACCCAGACACAGAGTCTCCACAGAAACACACACAAACATATGCCACAAACACACACACGAATATACTCCAGGACTATAACACACACACAACATACACATGGGCCCCACTACACATCTAATTGCCCAGAGACACACACACAGCCAGAGACACAGAGACATGTTTACACACACACACACACACAGACATACACACCCTCAGAAATTTCTAGAGACACTTGTAAGAATACAACACTCAGGTCACACACACCTCTGTGTATTTGCCTGTACAGTTATGTGGTTGCTCACCCATACAAGTAAATAACATCTGATAATGGTGTACGTTGATACGCACAGTGATTCCTCCACCTACAGAGAGAAACGGCAGACCCAGGAGCTCACAGACACACGGACAGGGAATTCCAGAGATGGACACACACACTCGCATACACACACACACACACACACACCACGCATTCACACACACACACACACACACACACACGGTCCCTTCCCTCTCTCCTTCTCTCCCTCCTTTCCTCTATCTTTGAAGACTCACCCCCCACCCCCACCCTGGCAGATTTGGGGAATCAGGACAGGGCAGACCCCATAAAGCCCCTCCCAGGGCAAGTAGTCTCCAAGACCAGGTCGGGGGACAGGGAAGCTGGGAGGGAAAGGGAGCAGGGGACAGGTATCCCAGGTGGGAGAAAAGCTTGTGATGGCCAGGAGACAGGTGGGAGGGCTGGGAGGCAGGTAGGAGCAGCTGGGACAGGACAGCAGAGAGCCTGGAGTTGGGGGGTGGGGAGGCTTTGCAGTAACAAGGGGATCATTCAGGATCCAGTCCCAAGCCTGCAGATGCACCTCCCTCAACCCAAAGGGGGCAGGGAGCTGACTTAACCCACTGAAGACACACTGCTCAAGCCTACTGCTTGTCCCTCCTCCAGTCACTACACTCCCCCTGCGCACGCACGCGCGCGCACACACACACACACACACACACACACACACACACAGCCTGCTCAGGCAGCCCGCCCACGCACCACCACCACATGTAGCCTCAGAGCTTCCTCCTGAACTCTCTCACCCCCACCCTAGGGCCAGGGAGGTTCCTCACAGCCCAGAGAGGGTCAGGCAGCAGCTTCGAGTCACAGCAAAGATAGAGCTGCAGGTCTGAGGATGGGGTCACAGAGCATGAGCCCAGGGAAAACATAGGGGACCTCTCCCCCATGCTCAGCTCCCCACCCCCGGCTCCCTGCCCATCTGGACCAGAACCAGCTCCAGAAGCATCCTGAATCCTGCCCTGTCTCCATAGGAACCGAGACCTCAGCCACCCACTGGCTCAGGCCTGCGGGAGGCCGAGCTGTTCTGTGGGGGTGGGAGCTGAGCTTGGTCCGGCTGAAGCCCCCCACCCCTCACTCATACGTTCACACCAGTACCCATGTCCACAAAGAGGCAGGCGTGGTACACAGAGGAGGGAGGCATGCACACACAGTCACACTGGTACACCCACAGGGACACACGTGTGGTCTTGGGTGCTCCCACCTGCACCCACATTCACACTCACACACACTGGCACACCCACATGGGCACCCGTGTGGTCACAGGTGCTCTATACCTGCACCCACACTTACACTCGCATACACACACACACATATACATATAAACACTCATACTCACTCACACACACTCACACTGCCCAGGGCTGCAGCACCCCAGAGGCTCGGAACCAGGCAGCCCAGCCAAGCATGAACTGCCCACCCCCCCGGGAGCCACCCTGGGTGGCAGGGCCTGGCAGTCGCTAAGTCAACCTGGGAGAGCCAAAAGGGACATGTGGCATCCATCCAGCTGGTAGAGCTGGAGTGGGAGAGGTGGTGACAGCCCCAGAGGGCCCAAGGCACAAAGCATCCTCCTTCAGAGGCCCCTGAGTAAGCACTGCACGCCCCAGGCCTGTGTGCCCCCTCCTCACCTGGCCACCACCTCGTCGTCCACCTTCACTATGCAGTAGGGGTCACTGCTCCCTGACCTGTGAAGGAAAGAGGTTGGGGGGAGTGGGGCGGGTAGTCACGGGTAGGATCTCCATCTACCTCCACCATACACACAGGGCAGACTGGGGCCCAGAGTGGGGAGGGGCCCTGCCCAGGCAGGTCCAGGCAGGGTCCAGGCAGAAGCAGGACTGAGAGGTCATGGCTGCACTGCCCACTCATCACATGATCCTGATCCAGCCCATCCAACCTCTGGGGACACGGAAGCAGGAGATCAGACAGCCCAGAGCCCAGAGAGCATTCCATGTAGAGTTCTCCCGGTCTCACCAGCACCTAGCTTAACCACCTTGGCTGCCACCCTCTGGGGCAAGCATTGCCCCCTCATATCCAGAGGGGTTTCCCTGGGAAGGGGTCAGGGAGTGGGAGTCTCCCACTGCAGTCACAGGCCAGAGGACCCAGACCTCAAAGCTCAACCAGCAGGAGAGGTGAAGGGCACCTTAAGGACCCATGCACCACCACCTCTTGTTGCCCCCACCCCCTTCAAAATAAGACTCACCAATAAACCCAAGCCAGCACCTCCTCTATCCCCCCTTCACAATAAGAGTCACCAGTAAACTCAAAGCTGTCCACTAAAGACCTCCTGTGCCCACCCCATCCCATGAGCCTCTGGTGTGTTTCCACCAAGCTCAACCCAGCCTCAGGGCCTTTGCCCATGCTGTTCCCTCTACCTGGGACTCTTTGTCCCTGATGGTGTCATGCTTGGCTCCCTCATGTCATTCAAAGTTCAGCCTAAAAGTCACTTCCTTGGATAGGCCTATCTGAACCACTATTGCCCTAAGTACCCCCTGGAAGCTTCTTGGGACAGGCTTTGTCTGGGTTACCGCTGTGCCCATTGGGCAAGGAGACCTTTGGAGCCTCAGTTTCCCCATTTGAGCTCCCCATCCTCCCCGGGTCCCATTTGACCAAGTCATCCACTGTGGGTCTGGGTCTCTGTGTCCATAGATGGGTGCCCCGCTCCTTGGGTTTTCCAGCTGCAGGGAAGTCAGTGGCTGGGGGAGAGGCCTCATTATGGATTGAACTATGTACGTCCCTCTAAGATAGGTAGTGTCAATCGTAACCCCCAGGCCTGTGGTTATCATCCCATCTGGGGAGATTTGAGGCAGGATGAGTCAGGGCTGCCTTGAGGCAATCTCTTCTGAGATGGGAGAGAGAGGACACAAGGCAAGCAAGCGAGAGCCACAGCGAGGAGCAGAGGCCAGAGGGCCAGGACCTTCCCCAGAGCCCACCGGGAGTGGAAGCCTGTCCCCCGCCTTTCAGCCTCCCCAATGGTGAAAACATAAGTTTGTTCCTTAAAGCGGTTACAGCAGCACTCCATAACTAAGACACACCCCCTCCGGTCGACCCAGCCTGCCCCCTGGCCCTCATGGGAGCTGAGCCGGAGAGAGCGAGCGTCAGCACAGGGGCCTTATCAGGCACCCATCAGGTATGGGTGATGGTGGCAGGGGGGTGGAGGGAGAGGAGGCTACCCCTTCCAGACCTCTGCTTTTTCCAGACCTTGGCCTCTCCCACGGCCCCAGCCCTGCGGAAGCGTGGGAATGCCAGCCCCTCCGTCATCCACCTGAGATCTAGATCTAGATCTAGATCTAGGCCATCCAGATGGGTGGCCTTGACAAGTGGCTTTGCCTTGGGCCGCAGTTTCAGAATTTGTGAATCAGGGAGGGCCCAGGGTAAGTGCACCCGAGGTCAACAGCCGGTATTATCAATAACCGACAACTCAAATCACCTCATAGGGACCCTCTAGGACAGAGTAGATCTACCCTCGGGTTTCTGAGACTGTCACACCTTGTGGGAGTACCAAGCCTTGTCTTTCCAGTCAGCACTCAAGCCTTGCCCTCAAACCTGGCAAGATGGGGACCCAGTCTCAGCGACTTTACCCCAGGAGAGGGCACACACTCCATCCAAGAGACCCCCCACCCCCACCCCAATGTCTGGAGCTTCCAGCATGCTCAAAGGAGAGCCCTTTGAAGAGGGAAGCCAACAGCTAGGGAAACTGGGGCAAGTGGCTAGACCCTCCTGGGGATTAGCGCCCCCTTCCCATGCCTTGTTCTGTAGCCAGGGTCCTCTCAGAGCTCGCGCTTGCTCAGGGTGGGGGGTAGGGAGTAGAGGAGAGGCAGCCACCCTTAAAAGCAAGAGCCATGGGAAACCAGGCAGGACAACTCCTTCCTCCAGCCAAGGTCCGGGGAACCACAAAAGCCAGGGGCCACCCCTGCTAGACCCGGAACCATGACTAGGGGGTGGGCAGTTCCCGATAGGGGCCCCCTCAGCCCTCCAGCAGCTTCCACATGCCCCACCCCCTGCCTCACTGCCTTCCCAGTTCCAGGAGCTGTGATTCTGGGGCGCTCTGAGGGGACATCTCAGAAACAGGGATGGGGAGGACTGGCAGTAGATGCTGCGTTCTTGCAGGCAGCCCCCCTCCGGGTGTTTTCCTAGATGGGGTGCTGAAGAGGGCAGGGAGGGGGCTCAAACTGCTCCAGAGAGCCCCCACACACACACAGCTGCAGTGTTCAGGGATCATGGCACCAGAGGCAGAGGAGGGAGCCAGCAGGGCCCTCGGGGAAGGAGGGGGACAGTCGAGCCCCAGGCCAAGCTGGGCAAAGGCTCACGGTCCCAGAACCCCACCTTAGAAAAGGGCTTACAAGATTGCCACTCAGAGCACCCATTGGCCAGATGAGAAACCAAGCCCCAAGGTCCTGCCAGGGATCTCACACCTGTCCCAGGTGCTGACACCCTCGAGCCCCTTCTGGGCTCTCAGCCAAGTGGGAAGAGACACCCCCCCCGCTCCCGGTCCCACCCCCACGTCATTCTGTTGATTCCGAAACTGCTAGCTCAGCGCTAAAGGATCCAAG